CCCGCCGATCCCGTCGTGGCGGCGACCGCCGGCGTCTTCGGCCGGCGACGACGGCGACGACCGAGCCGCCTCTTGCGGAGCCCGCGCCGTTGGGGCTGAGGGGCGCCGGGGAAAAGTAGCCCGACTGCGAAATCGAGCTGGCCGACTGTCCGTACTCGCGCACCTTTGGGCTCTTGTTGCCCTCGTTGTGTGCCGTTGCCGCCTCCTGGGCGAGCGACCTGCGGCGCTCGGCGTCGATGGCCTTGGCCTTTCTCTCCTCGTCGCTGTCCGGCAACGCCATGGCGGGCGTGACGCTGCCAGAGGCGGACCCAGACGCCTTTGGTGGTGGCGGCGCACCGGCTCCGCCGCCCTTGAGGGCCTTGCCGACCCTCCTGCCAAAGCGGCTCTCGAAGCTGTCGCGGCTGCGGTACGTGAGCAGGGCGGCCATCCTGGCGGCGCTGAGCCCGTTGCGCGGGGGCTGGTCGGGCTCGTAGTAGCCGTGGTTGAAGGCGGGGTCCGAATAGATCGACTGACGCTGGGCCTCTGCCCAGGAGATGCACCAGGCCGAGTGGCGGGCCGACGTGGCGATGGGGACGATGCAGCGGATGTAGCGGCGGCGCTGTGCGTGCTCGTGGTCCGAGTAGGGGAAGCGGGTGGGGAAGCAGAGGGGCCACTCGAGGACGGCCATGCCGCCCATGGAGCCGCCGACGACGGCGGCGACGGACTCGACGCCGAGGTAGTCGAGGACGAGCTTCTGGATGCGCACGTCGTCGCGGGTGGTGGTGGCGGGGAACTCGGGCCCCCACCAGCCGTGACCGGACCAGGACTGCTTCTGGGCGCGCACCTGGTCGATGGCGGCGGCGTCGTTGGCGTCGGGCCAGGATTCGCCTCCGGAGGCGGTGCAGGAGCTTGCGCTGCCATAGGGGCTACCGAGGACGTTGCAGCACACGACAAAGAAGCGTGTGGGGTCGAATAGCTTTCCCGGGCCGAGGAGGGGCCCCCACCAGTCTTCGACGTCTGCGCTGCCGGTGAGGGCGTGGCAGACGACGAGGGCGTTTGAGCGGGTTTCCGGGTCTAGCTTGCCCCAGGTCTTGAATGCGACGGGCACATTTGCGAGGGTGACGCCGGACTCGAGGGTGAATGAGGGGAAGAGGAGGTAGCGCTGGATGCCTGCGAGGAGGTTCGAGTGGGGCGATGTCGGGCCGGGGATCTCGCGGGGCGCAGGCAAGAGGTGGTCGGTGGCTGCCATGGCCGCGGCGTGTGTGCGAGGGGGTCGAAGCTGGTGGGTGATGGTGGAGGTGGTGTGCGAGAGTGGCGGTGTCGGTGCTGGTGGTGGTGACGATGCTGGCCGCTGCAATCGACGAGCGAGCCCGGGCTGGGCGATGGCAAGTGGTGGGCGACGTAGAGAAGGGTGAAGGCGAGGGGGCAAAGGCAAGGGCCACGTTGAGAAGAACGAAGAAGGCCGAGCGACCCTATGTGCCTGCTGCAAGCCGCCCGACCTGACCCAACGTGCGGCTTTGTGCCTCGGCACACGGAGCGATGGCGCAACCGGCCCTGCCTGCCTGCCTCTGGCCTGCCGACACAGCAGCAGCAGCAGCAGCAGCGGCAGCAGCCAAATGTGACTCAGAGCAACAGCAGCAGCACCAGCCGGCCCCGCTCATCCCCATGCATCCCCCGCAACTACCGCCAGCCTTGCACGATTTTGACTGCCTGCCGCCGCAGCAAAGCCATGCACACCTCGACCTCGTGTGGCCACGCAAACCCTTACGGCAGCGGCACGCTAGCATCGAACGACGATCTCCTCTCGCGGCCATCAGACTAGTGCTACTCGCTAGATCGGCGACATAGGCAGCGCCACCAGGCGCACACAGATGCATTGTTCCATTCAACAATCGGGCCAGTCTTCCTGCTGCTAGCAATCAGACGATCCCAGCGCGTGCCAACAAGCTATTCGGCCTCACGAGCGACCGCAAGAGGCAGCGGCAGCCCTGCCGACAGCACAGCTGCGACCGAGTATCGGGACCAAGACAGCGGCGGCGACGACGACGACGACGACGACGGTGACTCGATGCCGGCCCGGACGCAGCCTAGATGACCTCGCCCTGGATCTGGCTCGGGCGGAAGGGCCACCGGAACGCGCGCTTCACCTTGGCCAGGTTCCGCAGCTGCTCGGCATCGCCCCCGGGGCCGTTGCCGTTTCCCGCACCGGCACCGGCAACGGCACCGTCGTCCCGGGTCGCCTCGGCGTGCCCGGCGCTGTTGCTGCGGTCCAGCGGCACCAGCATCGAAGAAGACGACGAAGGGTGGTGGAACTGCGGCAGCGAATCGGCGCTGCTGTTGTACAACACCCCGTTGGGCCAGCCCAGCCGGTGGCGCGCATCGCGCATGTCCGACTGCCACACGTCAAAAGCCGACCACGACCGTCGCCCCTCTTCCTCGGATGCCAGCGTCGGTTGGAACGCCTGCTTCATCGCCTCAAAGTTGGACAGGCTACCCGCCACGCCTCCCAGGCCGTCTTGGGGCTCCACGCCCGGCACGACGTTCGCGCAAGGGGCTGCTGTGGTCGTGGCGGCGGCGGCAGCGGCGGATCCGTCGAACCCTTTGGGGGCAAAGGGGGCTGCACCCGTCGCCTTGCGGAACGCGTTGCGCAGCACACTGGCGCCGAGTCCCTCGGAAGGTTTGGTCGGCATCGGCCCACCCTCCTCGACTCGATCGGGATGGAAGGTCGGCGGCGCGTGGTGTCCAAACGCACGAGCGCCAGCCATGGCCTCGGTCAGGTCGCTTCCGAAAGGGTCGTAGTGAGAGGCCGAGGGGAACATTGAAGGGTGCTGGTGTTGCTGATGGTGGTGCTGGTGATGGTGCAGCAGCTGCGGTTGCTGCTGAGGTCGATCCTTGGAGGGAGGGCCAAAGTAGGGTCCGTGGAAGCCGTCATACGGAGTAACGCCCCTGCCAGATGCATCGGGCGGAGCAAACGGGTCGAGCTCTAGGTCCTGCAGCGGCAAGATACCGGGGCCTCCGTTGGCCACCCGGCCGTGCTCGCGGTCGCGAAGCGGCTGTCCCTCGTAGACCGCCTGCAGATTGTCCTTTTCCGTGGCCAGCGTCTCCTCGGCCGACTGGACGTCGCCGCGAAGCTTGATCACCTCGTCTTTGAGCGCGCGCAGGCGGTCCTGGGCTTGGGTCGTCAGCGAGCGGAGCTCCTCGATTCGCTCGGCCTTTCGCGTCGAGCTCGAATGCAGCTTGGCGCGGTGGCCTGCCCGCTTTTTGAGCAGCGCCTCGATCTCGTCCTTCTTGGCAGCGATGCTGTTCTGCTTGCTCGTGCGCGCCGTCGTGGCCGCCTTGAGTCGCCGCTCGGCCTCCCTCCGGGCCTGCTCCGCCTGCCTCTTGCTCTCCTCGAGCGACTTTGTCTTGGCCTTGATTTCCATCCGGGCCTTGTCGTCGTCGCGCTTGCGCGCGCGCAAATCGTCGACATCGCCCTGTAGGCCCTCGCACGACTTGGCCGAGTTGGCCCGCAACTGTTTGAGCTGCTCCTCGAGGTCCGACACGGCCGACTGAGAATCGGCCACAGCGGCGAGCATCGCCGTCAGATCAGAGGATTCCGGTTCGACAGCAGCGGACGAACTCGGTGGTTGCGGCGAAGCCGAAGGCAGAGGCGAGTCCCCAGACGCAGCGGCAGCGGTGGGGGCAGAGGCAGCAGTATCGGAAGCGCGGTTGGCAGAGTGCGGCGAGGAGCTCCTGCTCCGAGTCCCCTTGGCATCGGCGTGCCGTTCCAGCGGCGAGTCCGATGCGCTCGAGGCGCGGCGCTGTCCCAGCACCTTTCCCAGCCCCCGGGCCAGCAGCGGATCGGCCAGGGCGTGTTCGTGATCGGCCGAGCGCAGCTCGAGCACGCCCCAGTCGGAGAGCTCGTTGCGGTTCTCTTCCAGCTCCTCGCGGTCGTGACCCTTGGCCTGACCGGCGCGCGGGACAGACGAGGAGGACGACAATGACGAGGCAGAGGACAGTCGCTGCAGCGGCAGGCCGTAGACGGCGGTCCAGTACCGCCCAAAAGCGCCGATGAAGACAGAGGTGTAGTCCGACGCGGCCTCGACGGGGGCAGCGCCGGCGGCAGCGCTGCGTCCGTCGGGCGTCGAGTTGTTCGTGGCCGACAGGTCGTGGGCGGTCGCGCCAACGTAGTGGAGCGGCATGCTGTGCGAAATAGTGACGATGGAGAAGATCCCAAAGTCCTTGCGCAGGTACGGAGGCGTCCGAACCGAGAGCGAGAGCCGGGAGCCGAAGGTCGTGGCGAAGGGCGAGGTGGAGAAGAGCGAGCCGCGGAAAGCGGCGCCGGCCGCACCAGAGCTCCTACAAGCGCCATCCGGCGGAGAGGCCTTGCCATCCTTGGGTGCCTCGCGGTTGTTGGCATCCAGCAGGGCGTCGGCCTCGGCATTGGACCCTTCGTGGAGACAGCGGAGCCGCTCGCGGAAGGTGAAGTCGGTCAGGAACGGACGGAAAGAGGAGTCGGACGGATTGGACCAGTAGGCTGGAAGCAACACGGGCGAGACAAGGAGGAATTGAAACCAGGGTCAGCATGCTGATGGGAGCGACATCCGCAGATCGAGGTGTCAAGCCTGGGCCTCGACGGGTGGCTTACTCACCGATGAGAAGGACGAGCCCGACGAGCATCCAAGCCCACAGGAGGGCCTGGATGTCTTCCAGCTGGACCAGCGAGCGGAGGACGGCGAAGGGGGTGAGCGGGAGCGGCATCTCGCGCGGGCGTTGCCACAGCGCAGTGAGCGCCGTCGAGGGTGTCTGGTTGGCGGGCAGGTTTTCGACGTCATGGTGTCGGGCGTTGAGGAGGCCGAGGCCACCGCGCACGGCGGAGCCGAGTCCCATACCTGGCCGAAGGCGGATCGAGTCTCTTGCAAGACCCTTCTACAGAGAACCAGAGCGGAAGAAAAGGCGATCACAATCAAAGGGACCGACACGGGGCGAGGTAGAGGACCTGCAACCCCGAGGTCTAGTTTGGTCAACGATACGTGGTGGGCGAGTCCGGCGAATGAGGATGGATCATCCGGAAAGTGCAGCAAAGTGAAGGGCCGGACGACGGTGGCGAAGGAGTAGGTTGGAGTCGGAAGAAGCGAAGGAGGACGAGTGTTTCACCAGAGTCGACCTGCCATTCCCTCTATCCACGAGAGCGGACCAAAGTGATGGGGGTGGGGTAGAGGTGGGTTGGTGCCGAGGAGGCCGAGAAGAAGCTCAAGTACGAACGCGCCGGTCGATCCTTTCGAGGCGAGACGATGCTGCTCCGAAGCGGGGAAACGTGGCTTGACCGAGGGTTGGCGATTATGACGGTGGCGACGGCGATGCCAAACGATGACCGCAGAGATAACGTCGGTGAAGGGGCAGCAGTCCGCTGGCGACCTTCCTGCCGCTGTCTTTCGGTCTGTCTTTCGGTCTTTCGGTCTGTCGGTCTGTCGATTGGCCGAATCAAGCCAAGCGGAAGAGACCCGGGAAGCAAAGGTGATGTGAGAAGGTAGGAGCGGACGATGATGGTGACGGGGAGGTGGTGGTGGTTGGTGGTGGTGGTGGTGGTAGTGAAGATTTGCCGTGGCTGCCGCGCCTCGTCAGAGAGGCCCTGCGTGGCTGCCCGCCCGTATGCCTGCCTTGCCCGCCTGCGTTTGGCCTCCGCCCACCGAGGGTAGGCCAGGCGGCGATGATGGGTGAGTCGAAAAAATGTCCCGATTGCCTCGAAATGCCAAACCGGCTTGCTTATTCCTGGTTCCAACGGGGCGACGGAGCTTCCTGCCTGCCTGCGTGGTGGCTCGCCGCCTGCCGCCGGGCGTCGGAGCAGCAGGTCAGCCAGGCGGCCAGGCAAACGGCCAGGAAGACATGGGCCCCTCGTCGTATGCCATCCCCCCCTCCCCCCGCCTCGACCTTCTTCGACGGACCGAGGCATCGACGGACCGACCTTTGACGACCCTCCTTGATGCTTGACGGTCGCTCGCTCGCTTGCCCGTGCCTTTCGTCCGTCTGTCTCTCGACCTGGCTGTCGGTCGGCGCCACCAGAAAGCCAAAGGCCATCCCCGATCCGGATCCAGGCCGGCTGAGCGCCTCCTCGGAGCCTTGGCCGCCCGCCCTGCATGTCAGCCTTGGACTCCGCAACGCCGGCTCAACTCGTCGAACCGCCTGCCACTGTACGTCTGCCTCCCTCTCTCTGGGAAGCCATGTCATGCTCTCGGCGTCGCCGTCCGATTCTGGACCGGATAGATGTCACACGTCGCCCGAGCAATCCGCCCTCGAGACGGCCAGGTCAGGCCAGGACAGGCCAGGGCGAGCAAGTGGGCGGCACGCGACATACTCTCGGAAAGCACAGCTGGCCACCGTCGCTGGCAACCTCTTCGCTCACCATCGGACAAATGGCGCTGAGTCGACGCCACCGCCCCTTTGTCGTCGCATCGTCGAGCCCATCGCCATGCAAGTAGAGTCCACCGCCCAGTCTGCCAGCGCCGAGGCTGTCGCCAAACTGGCAGCACCGCGTCGGCGCCACCCAGACCTTTCACCGCACGAGCTGAGCCGGAAACAGGAATGGACAGAACCTCGTCTGGCCACGGCATCGCTGGGCAGAGACTTCGGTACGTCGGCTTGCGAGCATCCAAAGGCAGCATGTCTTGCCCGATCTCGGCCGCTTTGACGCTCCATCGAGGGCCAGCCAGTCGGCGCCGTCTGATGGGGCTTCGGCATGGCCTCTATTCTCTCGAGTCCGGCGGCCATGGTCCGCGTGCCGCGCTCACCTTCCTATGTATGGCGACCGGGCCGCCCGGCTCGATGGGACGGTCCGAGCTCGAGGGCCACTGGTCACCGATCCATGCCCTCTGCAGTCACTCTGTACCGATCCATGTGCTCGCCGGCGGGCGATCGGCGTTCGGTGGCGGGACGGCCGAGGGACGAGGTGGTGACGGCCATGGTGCTGCTCACGGTGAGCAGCGCCGCGTTGCGAAGGAGCAAACAACGACGAGGACCCTGCCCTGCTGCGCCAGCATGAACGCGGGGGTTCGCTAGCCAGGCTCGCATCGTCCAACCGACCCTGGGGTCGCCCACGCCGTAGCCGTCACCTTCGCCGCAACCGTTGGACTCTGAGCTCGCCTCTCCGCCAGAAGACATACGCCGAAAGGCTCGATGGCTGGTCCAGGACGATGTTGGTCGTGGGCGAAACCAGCCAGCCAGCCAGCCAGGCAGGCGGCGGCGGCGGAGGGACCCATTTGTTTCGGCCGACTGAGCGTTGGTTCCAGGCGCGACGGCCCAAAGAGCCTCCAAGCCAGAGCCTAGCCCTGGCCTGGCCTGGGGGCTTGCCACGAGCCCGGGCTCAGGCGGGCCAGGCCGTCGCGTCGTCATCGGCCAGCGTGGCTGACGCGCCGACGTTGGCCTGGCCGGCCTCAGGCGGGTGGGCGAGCGGGCGGCCGGGCGGCCGGGCGGGCCCTCGAGCCAAAGTTGGAAAAAAGGAAAAAGCAGGCGCGCAAGCGCGTGCCTGCTGCGGGCGGGCTAGCCAGGTCCCCCGGCCCTAGTCTCAGGCGACGGGGGGGCCAGGGCCAGGGGGCAGCATATAAAAGAAGGGCCGGGCCCCGAGGTCGGGCGGCGG